AGTAAACAATCTATTATGTTCAGAGCACAAACCTCCTCCCATCGGCTAATCTGCTGTTGTGAGCTGGGTTGCGCTCAGGGAGATTTCCGACAATGATAATGCTCAATTGACCATTTTGTGGTAGAAATCAGAGCGCTGGCACCAGCTGGCACCTTAATCTGCATTTATGAAATATGAGTGCATAATTTCTACCCACCCTACCTCTTGGTTCTTCTTTTTCTTCTTCTGCTGGGAAATAAAACATTAACACACCCCATGAATAAAGAATACTTCACTTGAAGACATGACAAACGCTTGCCATTTCGAGTAGTTAATGAAGAGTACGAGTAATGACTTAGTCTTAGCCTCCATGCAATCTCCGTTTTAAGAACCATCCATAAGAAGACCCACTGTGACTGTTTTGTTATTCTTTCACCTTCAATTAACCAGAATTAAGACCATATTCCCTTTCGGCAGCTTGGAAAAAGGCTTCTAGAGGAGAAGGGGATGAATGAGCAATTTAGATTATTTTAGGGGAGCTATCCTTTGCCACTCCCTCAGAGGAATGGAAAGATCGGGCACAACCGAGACTAAGAAATGAGGCTGAGGGAGAGAAGAGCAAGGAAAATAAATAAGTTCAGTAGGTGAATAAAACAGCATGAGGGAAAAAAATGGGGAGTCATAATGAAAGAGATTATGAGGGATAAGCACGATATTGTGAGTGTGTGTGTGTGAGAGAGAGAGAGGCGGGGAGAAAAGATGGGGTAAGGAGATCATAGCTTGCAAAAAAGAATCCTTCTTGGATGAAATAGGCTTGCTACTGGAACAGCTGGGTCTCAGTACACTTCAGCAAACTGAATAAATAGATTGGACAGTTTCCATGGAAAGACCAAAACCAACAGACTAAGACAAACCTGTCTTAGTCTGTCTCACAATTCTTCCCAACTTCCAGTGGCAGCCCCAAGCCCATTTGTTCCAGCTGAAGAGGAACATCTTTAAAAATGTGTCACAAAGTAGTCTTATATTTACCGCCAAGTGAATTCAGATGGACACTGTAGTTTTTAGCAAACTTTACTCAAACCAGAGTAAATGGTGCATTTTTTGGGGACTGTTTTCAGCCATATAGGCTACACATTTGGCACCCTAGTAAGTATTTACAGCAGCTTCACGGTGCATGTGGCATTGAGTCAAAATAAACTACAACGCCATGTTCATGGTCATGAAAGAACCTAGGACAAAGATGTGGCCCATTAATGTTTTTTGTAATAGTTTGGGACAACAATTAGGATCTGTGGCACAGAGAAATAAACTACTTTACATCAGCCTTTCGGTACACAGACGGTACTTGTTATAGGTTTAAGTCTTTTCATTTCATTTGTTGACAATCAGAAAAATGTAGCATATCGACAAATAATTGACAGAGTCAAAGTCACACTAGCCACCTATTAGCGTGTTATGAAAACTAAATGTGCATAGTTAAAATTAGCGCTTTTCCTCTTTGAACGATTACCATCAACAAATATGAAATGCTCGGCACAACAAATATTCAAACTAGTGTACTGCTAAACCAGTGTGTGTGTATTTTACATGGTTCACTGTGAGACTCACTTAATGGACCTCCATTTTCAATGTAAACTGAGGTCTGTCTGCAGGATCGCTATCCATCTCTGTTAGTTTGACAGGAACGATTAGCTCCTTAACTACTTTAGTGGGCAGTGTGTTGCCAGTGAGGAATATCGACTTGTTAAGAGCATCTGCTGACTGTCAACATGCAAGTCTTTCCATTATGAGCAATCCAGGAAGCAACAAAATACACCTGAGGATTCAGCCTCAGATTATTGTTGTTGACGTCAAAGAGGCTGTGGTGAGGTAGACGCGCGCACACACACACACAAACACACACTTACGCATGCACACACACACACAGATGCACATAAACCAACCCTGAATACGCTAAACCAGATATATGACACCCCCGCTGAGGTTGATCATGTTCTGAGCATGGTGTCTCAAAATACAAATATGCACTCTACAATATGTTCAACCATCACCATTATTTAGACAAGAAAAAGGACTGTAGTGTGACGCATAATGTGATGATTTTTGTTAATTTAAAGCATAATAAAGCATCATTGCAACAATGTTCTTAGTTTTGACCACCATTTCAAGTGGTTGATAATAACATTTTATTTAAGGGTGAGTAATATGAAACTTCTAAAATACTCCCTACTTTGTAGGCTTCAAGTAAAATCAATTCCCCCTTGATAATAAATGGGAATTAATTTAACTTCCACCGTGCATCACACTTCATGCTCTGAGGCTCCTGCATGTCCCATGATGACGCTGCTGTTTTGATTTTCCATACAGGCTCTATCAAGATGAGGTGAACTGCTGTTGTTAAGGTCATTGCTGCTCTGTGCCTACTCCCTCGAGATTGTTAATTTGCCATACAGTGGCATACAGTTCAAGAGCTCATTATTGAAAATAATTGGCAATATTAAACAGAGATGTCTGTTGTTGTCACTGCTGCATTCATGTTATTATGGATCCCAGTATAGTTACAGACGGGGACAGGACTCCATCTTAGATCTGTAACCTGTGCTTGACTACACCAAACCCATATTTAAACTTAGCTATTTCTAAAGTAATATAACTTGAATTCAAATTAATTCATTTCAATGTGTTTTTGTTTAAAAAAAAATGCTGTTATACTGCCTAGAACCCAGGTGGGATCCATAGACTCTTTTTGCCAATGGCTTCCCCAAATAGTTGATAAAGGTATCCCATGGGGATCAATATTAAGCCCACTGCTATTAACTTTGCATATAAATTATATGTATATTTTTCAACTGAGAACTGCCATGTTAGTTTGTATTCTGACCATCATCTTCTCTATACACGTACTGTGCAATCTAAGTCAAGAAGTATTTAAATCAAAGTTAGAGACCCTCTTGGAGGGACTTTAAAGTTCCACTTACTGACATTATTAATTAGATTTGTAATCTGTGTGAATGATTTGTCCTGTGAATAAAACCTAGCTGAACAAATGGACATCTAGCCATTATATTGAACCAAATCACTACAACTACTACAAGCATATTCTGTCATAGTCATGATCAAACTTGCAATAGTATAATTACCATATCATACCATCATATTGCCATGTTATCATCGTTACTCCCCTGATTATCATCAAAATAATCAGAGACCAACAGAAGAAGAACGTGTACATCCTGCATTTACACACATGTACACAGGTGCATACACACAAACTCATTCTGAAGGCTTTAAGTGCGTTCACTTGCCACACCTAAGTCAACACGTCCACATCTCAGGGAGGAAATTATATATTCAATTTCCACGGAGATGAGCTGAGAGTTACTTTCAGCTCCTCTTCCTATTTGAAGCTAATGAATGCAGATTGAAGAGATGTTCATTCCGTCAAAACAAACGCCCCCAACACCTGCACACCAAGTCTGTCCTCTACAGCACTAAAATAGAAAACATAGTTTAAATATTCATATCCCTCAATGGACTCGATGAATACGCAAATAAATAATCTGTCCCATTTATTTCTCTCTCTCTCTCTTTCCTTTTTCTGTATTAAAAGCACAGACAAGAGCAAGTGGTCTGCTTTACGTTAATTGGTCTAATTTGTTATGTGGTGTTCTCTGTTCAAGGGATGTTTCCTATTAGTCATGCTCTGAGAAGGCCTCTCTTTCTATATTTACCTGGATGCTCAGTCACCACAGGGGGAGGAGTAAGTCAAAGCAGTGAATGGAATACTGACTTCACATTGCCTCAAATATTGGAGCAGAGCATTACTCATGCGCTACTCAGGTCGCCCATGCTGAAAATGTATACATTTACAGTACTGTAAGAGTCATTACAAAGCAAAAAGTTATCATGTTGTGCTTTGGTAGCCTGCAGTAGTTTGAGTATGTCTTTGTATCTTATGTCCTTCCGCAAGTGATAATCATTTAAGTTTTTGTAATTTCGCCAAGATTCTACTTTTTAATAACATTGTTTTGAGCATATCAAAAAAAAAAAATCAATGCATTTACTTAGTTTTTTCTATGGTATACGCTCCTGGGGTCTCATTTATAAAACTTTGCACACATCCACACTAAATGTTTGCATATGTACAATGTACATATGGGACGATAGACACAAATCCTGGACTCCGGTGTAAAAATCCTGTGCTTTGCGCAACCACACACGCTGACGACCTTCGTTTGACTTGTATGTAACGTAACAATGACACACTTGCAGGATTGAAAAAAACAAAACAGCAAATATGTTTCCTACAAAATGTATTTGGCATAGTAAATGAGAAAATATCTAGTGTGAGACAGGCTTGCTCTATTTGTATATTTTATCTGCATTGTCCCTATATGAGAGTTATTGTTCGTTACCTGATACCAGTATGGGAAAGAGGGACATATTTTGGCAGCATCATTGGCTGTAATAGGATATCCCAAGCTCTTTGAGTCACTTCAACAACTTAAAATAATAACATTGGGCTGTAGCCATGTCTTTCTTGGCCAGGTGAGTCGGTGGCTCTGCCATAGCAGCAGATATGTCTGCCTAAAAAGCACTTAACCTGCATTTTACAAATTAATTTAAGTCTTGACGCAGCAGTGGGGACAGAACTGGTGCATTTTGGGATGGCCGTAGTCTGCAGCTCAGGGTAAACTGTTGTGTCAGGTGTGACCTCCATGTCAACACAGCTTGATCCTTCTGCACAGTGGTGGAGCAGTCATATTAGAATATAATATGGAAGTGGACAGCCAAGGAGAAAAGAACACCGGGGTAGATACTCAAACTTGGTGGTGAAAAACAAGGTAGAGAGACAGAAGGGGGACATGTACTGTAGCATGAGGAGAAATAATGGGGCAACCAGTCTTATGTTGTTTCCATATAACCGTTCTCTGCATTATTAAAGGTTTGGTAATCAAACTACAATATAGTAAACTACAAAAAAGGATTCAGAGGAAGGAAATGAAGAGACAGCTTCTCACCTGTGTATAATGCGCTTTGTACGGAGGTATCCCAGCGCCAGGGCCAGTTCACAGATGTAGAGTTTGACGGTGCTCTCTGAGAAGTGGACGTTCTGCTGGAGGTGATAGCGCAGGTCTCCTCCTAAGAGCAAGTCCACCACCATAAACATGTCCTCCTCATCCTGGAAGGAATACCTGCAGAGGAAGGCAGGCGGTCAGGAGTGTAGAGTGACAAGGCCAGGTAGTGGTAAGGACATGTGGTGGAGACGAAGGAGATTTGGAAGAAAAAGATTGAAGTGGCTAGATGCTTACCAGGGAGGTTAGAAGAAAGAGAGAGACATGCAGTAAGAGGGGGCGGAAGAAATCATAAATGGAGGTGAAAATAAGAGTGGTGACAGAAAGCAGAGCAGCAGAGACGCAGGTTTGAAGGGAAGGTAAATATGGAGATGTCGAAGTTACAGAAGAAGAGAGGAGAGGGGAAATAAGGATGGAGTTTTAAGAGGCGGAAGATGGTGGAACATAATATCATAAACAGTGTATAAGAAGGGTTCCCAAAAGATGATAATAACACAAAACACGTTTCATTTTTAGATGGGGGAACCCATGCTGGATGAAAGTTTAACCAAATTGAACTCATTGTGCTCCTCAGGCAAATCAACCTTTATAAGACTGTGTGTAGGACCTGAGTACAAAAGGTTTGACACGAAAAAAAGGTTCGACAAATTTACCCATTAGTGTTTCAACCCCATGATCTCTGACAAAACAGCCTCAGGAGCCACTCGGTGTCTCTGAGGGTAAATGCTGCTCTACTCTGTATGACTAACGGTACAACAAGCAGAAGAAAAACACTCATCACATGTTACATATCGCAGGGGGGAGCACCTACATGTTGGCTAAGTCATGCTGGGGGATATGCTCATTATCCTGTCTTCAAGGCTAGCAGGCTAAGAAACTATTTTAATATCTTGTAAACAAGTGGCTATGATAGTTGGGAGACAGGAGAGACGGGTAACATAGTGTTCCTATTTGAACACATTTTAGACGTCTTAAAAACACACATTTGACAGGATGTAGACTGTGTAGACTATTTGAAAATGTTCCTTTTAGTCTTCTCTCTTCTTTCTCTTCTCTGTCCTTTTTTAAATCTTACGATTAATGTTTTTATTGTCAGTGTTCAGGTCTGCTGAGACACCTTTAAATCTTTAAAGTCAGGTTTTTTTGGCCCACACTATTACCAGTAATATTATCGACGTTCTTTTTTTAATAAAAATGGATTTCACCAATGCAAATTATGAAGGAAAGTCGGACACAACTGTATTCTAAAAATATTTCACATTGCTTACTAAAGAGCCTTGTACAGTAGAATAAAATCCAATACATTATCTGCATACTTAAAAATACATTGAGGACTATAACATCATCAAAGTTGCATCCTTTTTGTTGCTTTCTGCTTTCTGTAGCAAAAATAAAATGGGAATAGTTAACACAGAGAAAAGATAATCTCTGTTGTGATTACATTAGTGATCAGCAGACAGATTATCCTGGCTTTTTTTCTTTTTTTACAGTGACGTGCACGGTGTTATTGAGGATTTGTTCCTTTTCAATTCCATCAACATTGGCGGTATGAAAATCTTATAGCTCATTTATTCTGCATCCAGTCAGCAACATCGTCCGCTCAGATGCACTGCTTCTATCTCTGTTTAGGGTTAACATGTTTTTCGTCAGACTGGTGAGTGTCTTGCCATTTTAGTAAAGTGGGCCATTACATATATTACATAATTCTTTATTTCAGTGTGTGGTGTAAAGATTTGGCAGGGAAAACTGAACTGTCTGCTCAGACAACTTGGTTGTAGTGCATACTGTACGTAGAATTTGCTTGCATATGCCTCAGCCAGTCACAATCTTTTATGGTGCGGGGATGTTCTGGGTGGTAATGCTACTTGTGGTCACCCAGCTATCATCCATCCATCAAGTACTGTCATACACAGCAAGCCTTTATCAGCATGCGGCCCACTGCATTGCCATTTGAGAAGCTGTTGCACAAATCATCATTGATTTTTACATGCTGAGTGGGGCCACGGTTGGTGTTTTTTTTCCTCCTCTCTAAACGTCGCGCTAATTAGTTTCTCTCCAAAAAACAAAAAAACGTTAAAGAAATATTGCAGCAGCCAACATTTTCCTGGCTCGCCTAAAGCATCCTACATCTGCAAGTTCAGATCTTCAACAAAATACTACACTACCGCCGTCCGTCCTTCAACACGTTCCTGATCTGCAATTTCACTTTTGAGAGGTTGCATTTTTTCACCCCGGAGTCCATTGGGGTTTCTTCTGGCAGACACTTCTCTGTCAGGACCATCATCTTTGCTTAAACTCAGTGTTCAATGACTGGGTGTAGTTTTTTGCCACGTTGGTGAACTCCCCTCCTCGGGGCCCTTCTCCAATGAACTGGAGGTGGTGCTTTTCTGCACAGGGTGAATGGGGATTGATTGAGCTGACTCAAAACTGTCTGCTAAGGCTCAAAGTGTGGAAAGACTATCTGTAGATACTCGTCCTGAAGATGCACACACATTTGGCAAAGTCACAAAGACGTGCATGAAGAGATGCACACACGCATACAGTACAGTCCAAGATTCAGTTAAAACATGCAATCAATATTATGATGTTTTATTATAAAATAAACTGGCAAAAATCAACACACCATCTTGAACACACAGATGCACAATCAACCAACAGTTCTCCACTGATGAATATTCGTTTTAGGGGGAAAAAGAGAAATGAGAAGACACCAGCCCTCCCCACTTAAAGTGTCTAATACAGTAGGGCTGAATGGATGGGACCAGCTGCAATGCTATCAATCACTCAGACAAGCAGAAATGACTTTGCCACGCTTTTGGACACCAAGGTTCTCCAAAGTTTTCGGCAAAGTTTATATGTGTATGTATGTGTGAGACAGCATAATTGGATGAATTTAAATGGTGTTCCGAGTAAATTTACAGTACAAAGCTAAAGATCGTTGAATCAGCATGTGTTATATATTCTCAGATATTATACCATACAGAGAGACACAGAGGGAGGAATGCATACAAAACCCATACAAACCTTTTTGGGCATTTCTGTTTTCAATATATTCAGTTATTTGAAAGGGGACATATGGTCATTTTCAGGTTCATGCTTCTATTTTGGGTTCTACTAGAACATAAAATGTTCAAATACACATGATTTTTTCTAATACTGTGTCTAAATATCACCCTCAGATCACCCTCTGTCTGAAACACTCTTTAGTGCCTAATTGTATTGCCTATCTCTTTAAGCCCTCTTAAATATCAAAGCAATGGTTCACTTTGAAACAGTATTTGTAGTTTTTGGGGCCAACACAGCTCCGACTGAGCTCATAGATGGTCAAAACATTGCCTCCCGATTACCCGCATGCTCTGCTTCTGTGCAAAGCTGGAATTTCTCTAAGAAGTCAGGACACTTATTATTTTGAAGCTTTCACTTTAGGGTGGAAATAACTTTAACTTTGCAGTACAATGCTTGCCATTAGAGAGAATATTCTAAAATATTAAGAAAATAAACATTAGGGCAGCAGTGTGAGATGCAGCATGCAAAACTATGTTCAATATATATTTTTTTAAATGCAAAGCTGCTGAATGTTTGTGAAATATTCATGACTGTTATTTGAAGCTCGGGCTCCAAACTGTAAACCAAGATGAGCTTCTCAGTGGTGAAGCTGTGTGTGTTTGCTGGATGGACTCCATTTTACTCTGTCTATTAATCATTTGATTAACTCTCTTTGCCTCTCATTCTCCCTCTCTTTACACACACACACACACACACACACACACGCGTGTAAATACCTCTCACCCAGCAGAAGTAGTTAAGGTGGTAAAGACTCCAAGAAGCTGCTGCCACAAGCATTTAGGGGATACAAACGGGACTTTATTGCTCTTTTTCTTGATAGATAAACAGTGGCTTCTTCAAGGAAAAGTGCTGTTTACTCATATAACTGCGATAGAATACAATACATGAGACGATTTCTGCAAGTTCAGTGACCCTTTCTAGACTTAAACCTTCAACTTTATCATGAATTACTTATTTTGATAAGTATTATTTTGTCAATCACAAGTATTCCCTGTTTAGTATTTAATTATGTAATTAATTTAGTATATCTGCTTAAATGAAGGAAACATCATATTAGCTGATATCGAATACTAAAGTACTCAGGATCTGGGATGAAAAAAACATTATCCCTAAGCTTCACCTTTTTCATTTATTTCAAATTAATGTATTGAAAACTGTAACCTTTCTTTCTCCATAACTTTATTTTGAGGTGAAAATCCTCTTCAAACTAACTCCTTTTTGATCATTTTTTCTTGCTACAAATGCTCCTTGTTGCTCTGCACTGACCAATAATTGCAACGGGTTCACTGACAGAAAAAGTCAAAATAGCTATTAATCTGAAAATGCAATGTCATATAACTTTATCATACGTACTTGGTGATTGGTCGGGTCAAGGAGGATCAAGGAGGGACTGCAAGTCCATCAAGTCAATCGATAGCACACTTGAGTCCTCCGTGAAACCGGTGTAATCAAGTAGAAAACCAGCTCTCATGCTTGGCTGAGGTGTCCGTGTTTCCTGTCCCACAAGTCTTTCCATCAGAAAGCCAAGGTGGTAAAAACCAAAAGGGCTTAATTGTCATTGTCGGGGGAAGTTGTTCTGTCTTAAGAGCAAACAAACTGACCGACTCACCGCAATCGCTCACATGGTTGCTCAAAAACAAAGCTGGCATACAGAGGGTATGCACTCTGATTACTGTAATGTACACACACAGATGCATGCATGTGTACCCAGGCAGGCTGTTCTCATCCAGCGTTTGTCGAGATCCAAGAAATAATTCTGTATGTTATCCACGTAGTCATGAACTAAGAAGTATAAAGATCGCAAAAGCCCTCGCCAGGCGGGCGGAAGGGTCTGTGTATGGGTCCAACAAACACCGATCTTTCACACCAGACACCGCTGTTTGTTCCCCATGTGAAACTTTCGTAGGAAAAGGCACGAAAAAACTAGAAGCTTTTTGTAAGATATCATACGACCCATTGTATGAGGCTACGTTGACCAAGGTATGCTTATATTGCCACCCACCTACCTGTTGTTTGAGTTAGCTACTTTTGAATTAAACTTTGTTTCATAAGTC